TAAAGATCAAGTAGACCGATAACCGATATTTTGAAACGATATATATGTCTGGTGTAAAAATTTTAATTAATGTCATAATTAAGAATAATAAGGGCTCTGACAAAAACTTTCTTTAAATGCTTTTAAATTATTTTATCGGCAAATCGGTTTTGAAAATGACCAATACATATAATCATAAAAAAGCTTAATATCAGTGCCGATAATCGGTCGACCCCTAATATATACATATATATATTACAATTAATTGTCCATTTTCATTTTCATAAAATTTAGATGAAAATGGACAATATAAAAATAAAAACATTCAAAATATTGATAAAAACTATAACAGTATCTCAATTATAGTAAAATAACACTGCAGCACAACTGTTTTCAACATTGATAATAACCAGAAATGTTTCTCGAGCAGCAAATCAGCATATTAGAATGATTTTTGAAGATCATGTGACACTGAAGACTGGAGTAATGATGCTGAAAATACAGCTGCGCATCACAGAAATACATTACAGTTTAACAGTTATTCACATAGAAAACAGCTATTTTAAATTGTAATAATATATCACAATTTTACTGTGTTTTTGATCAAATAAATGCAGCCAAGGTAAGCAGAAGAGACTTCTTTCAAAAAAATTAAATCATCTATAGCTACACACACATACAGCACAAAACTCCATCGTCTCCATAGCGACCTATTAACTCCAGTGGAATATTCCACGGATTACAAAGCACAGATTGTAACATCCTCTAATAAGTTCCACTATGATGTCAGCAGAATCTGTACATCATTGTGCTCAAATTCCTAAATTAATTTCCATGGGGAATGTGTGTTTGGCAGATGTGTGAAGGACAGCTGTCCTCTCCAGTCGGGTCTAAACTACATTTTCACACACTCTGAAGAAAATGCCTCACTGACATGATGCTGGGACATTGTTATGCAGTTACTAATGTGTTTACAAACTAAACTCCATGCATACTCATTTTCCTTCATAAGGAAATAATCAAATCATGATTAGATAACAGAGGCATCTTCACAGATGGAAGTCCTAAGCAGACGTACAGCAAGAAGATCCTTGAAGACTTTTGCACTGCTGCATAATCTGCTTAATAAATAGCAAATTAATATTCTGCTGCTTCAGAAGGATCTGATTTCTGATCCAAAAACAAGCCCATCTCAGTGATGAAGTGATGTACATAGTCCGTAAAAAGGCCCTAGAGGTGGTTTAACAAATGTATTTCGTGCCTCTTTTCATATCGGCACCATGTTTAAATGGAAACGGCTCACTAATGAATATCCAAATATCCAGGGGTTTTCAAATTGAGGAAATATTTACAGAAAAAAAGTGTTTGCAGAAAAAGTTTAAATATAAACAAATAATACAAAATACTTAATAAAAATAAATAATCAAAATTAGAGGGGAAAAAACTAATAAATAAAAATGGTTAAAAAAAGTAAATAAAAAATAAATAAATAAACTGAGTACAATAACAATGAGTATGAAAGTAACATGTAACAATATAAACTAAATATTTTCCAAATAATATTATACATTAAATATTTATTTTGACTGAGCTATAATATATATACAAGTAGCTATACAGATGCCTTTAAAAAAATATTTAAAAATGTGATTAAAATAATTAAAACATTAGATCAAAATAAACAATTGGATTAAAATAAAGTAAACACACAAATAAATAATCAATAAATGCAAATTAAATTAAAATAAATACTAAATAAAAAATATATTTAAATAAACAAATAAAGTGCTAAAACAACACTATTATAAGTAGGGTAATAGAGTAGTTTAACAGAAACTAAATATTATCCAAAAAATTCTAGACATATTTATCATATTAATTTTTCACAGTATAAATTGTGTCTTTATACAAGTAACTGTACTTTCAAAAATGTTATTAAAATAAGTAAACAAATAAATAACAGTACTATACGAGTAGGACAAAAGCATGTAATAAAGTAACATAATATTTTCTAAATAGCATTTTAGACTAATTGCCGTCATTTTTTACATTAGTAGTAAAAGTACTTTCACTGAGAACAGGCCCAAAGAGATGAAGTCACAGTATTATGCTGTAAAATCCTCATTATTACATGTAAAAGCTTGTATGATAGATTAATGACTAACTACATAATCATTCACTCACCTGACAAACTAAAAACAATCATTATTATTCCCATTGCATTTAGTGATGCTGTATTTACAGTACAGATGCACAGAAATCACACACTGCAGCTTTAACCGTAATAATGTCACGTGCATATTGCAATGTTAGCTCTTAGCTTCCCAGCATGCACTGCAGTATGAATAAATGATACGGTTGCACTGTTTTTGTTGTCACTTTTAGTTACTGCAACACAACAGACTAGCACACGACTACACTCTCATAGAAAAGAGTGTGTTTATTCACCAGTAGCTCAAAAACTCATCACTGGAGCTGAACAATAACGCGTTTATAGGGCATAAAGTTGCCGTCTCATGCAGCTGTAAGAGCACAAACCCGTAAATAGACAATCTCCCGTGAGAACAGAGCGTTTCTCCTTAACCTCCCTACAATCACACACACTCGCACACACACACTCACTCACTCACTCACTCACTCACTCACTCTCACAGACACACACACACACACTCACTCACTCACTCACTCACTCACACACTCTCACAGACACACACACACTCACACACTCCCTCACTCACACACTATCACAGACACACACACACTCGCACACACTCTAATCCCAACAACTTTAATGTCTTGGGCCCTTCTATGGTGCCCTTGTGGTGCAGTAAAAACATTCTAGAGTTTCCTAAATGTAATGACCTGCTCTGAATCAGCTTTATACAGATCTACCGGCCAGCTCTGAGGTTCAGAAGCCAGAGGTGCTGAAAATGTCTGCTATTATATTTGAATACATATTCTGCATATATATTATAATAATAACACGTATGAATTAGTAGTTTTTAGTACACATTTGTGTGTGTATATGTGTGTGTGTATATATATATACTGGTACTTTTTGGTAATTTAGGGATTCGTGGAATGTTATATTAAAATAAAAACATTTGTGATATTAGCATTTCTACAGAATGTCCTCGTGAGAGACTGTCAATCAATCAATCAATCAATCAAACTCACCTCGTCCTCGAGCAGTGGAGGAAGACGCTCAACTTCCCGGCGCTTCTTCTCCTCTTCCTCATCCTCATCCTCATCCTCTTCCAGGCCGGCCGCGGCGCTCCCGAACGTTCCCATAACGCGTCCTGATCGATTCTAGAACAGCTGGCGCTTCGGTCTCCCGTTAACGCGCGCGCCGCGTCACGGAGCGTCAAGCCGAAGGACTCCCTCAGATCAGTCACGCGCCAGCGGTTCTTCCGCGGATCGATAACCGATGGCAACGGGGGAGTTTACTAACTCTGCTGCCATGGTAACGACGCGATCACTACGCGAGCCGCGAGCGTCTGAGTATCCTCCGCCTTCAGTCAGCTGCGCGCAGACGCCACATTATTTTTACTTATTGGTCAGCATGACTCGCATATGCGTCATAAACGTTTACCCTTAAAATATCTGCCATAATTCGTCTCTGAAGATCTTTAAAGACAATAAAATAGCAAAAGAGTGATAAATCTTTACAAAAACGGTCCTGTTTGCTGTCACATTAATAATGGGGCAAGTTGTCACAAGTGTTATATGTATTTTACATTTTACATTTTTGTTTCATCTTCCTAATTTGGATAATAAATAAGTAAATAAATAGAGATGTTGTGGAAGCATGTTTGATATTTTAACAATAAAAATATATATTTCTCAATATCAATATACAGCAGGTTCCCAGTTTGATAATTTAGTAATACAATAAAGCCAACCTGAGAAATATTCACTAGTAAAGAGTGTGACAACTAGCCCCGGTCTTCCCTATACTGGGGTGCTGAAGGTTTACAGTATTCCTGTACCATCACATCTTGCTTCAGTTATCATTATGAGCATTAAAGAATAATACTTATGAGTACCATTTTCAAAAGAAAAAAAAAAGTTTTGAATATGGAAGCTTGTTCCCACCACGAAAAAAAAAAAGATAATTTGATCTCACATTTTGGAGATATAAACTCAGAATTCTACATTATGTAATGGTCATCATGACCCGCAAATGCTTCAAACTTTTTTCCTTAAAATATCTGCCATAATTCGTCTCTGAAGGTCTTTAAAGACAATAAAATAGCAAAAGAGTGATAAATCTTTACAAAAACGGTCCCGTGTGCTGTCACATTAACATCGGGGCAAGTTGTCACAAGTGTTATAATTTAACAGTTTACATTTTTGTAAAAGTTGTTTATAAAACAAAGATTATGTTTTGCAAGAAAACATGGAAGCTTGTTCCCACCACGCAATAAACAAAAATTAAAAAGAGAATTTTATCTCACAATTTGGAGATATAAACTCTATTCTAGCTATTCTATAAATTATATTCTACTCTATTTCTATTCTATAAACTGAATTCTAGCTTTGTTTTCTTTTTTTCTCAGAATTGCAAGAGTCAGAATTGTGAGATAAAAAGATGCCTTCCATACATTTCAGTTTTTCTACTTTAAAATTAACACATAAACCTGACGATCAATAAATGCTCAGGTACAATGAGCTCTCTATATCAACCATTACAGCATAAAAAAAACTAATTCAAAAAACTTTTAAAAGTAGCTGCATGATTTAGTCGCACTGCAGTGCATGCTGGGAACTCACAAACAGCAGCTTTGTTTATTATGATAATGTTTGTCAAAATAAAACCGTTATGCGTTATTTTAGTCTCATTGAGATAATATTATAAAGGCACAGCCCAATACATTCACAACAGTGTTGTTATTATCTAAAAAAACTAAAAAAATCTGTAATTTTATGATTTTTCATAAACAAAAATAGTGTAGAATTCACTACATTTTTAATTTTTTGAGTTTTATTTTCTGTAATTGAAAAAAAGCTGAAATAAAATAAATATTAGATACACTTACAATTAAAATGTTGCCTTTGCAACTAATTCAAATACTAAAATGACTAAAACTGAAATAAAAATAAATGAAAGCTTAAAAGAAAAATGACAAAAGCACAAAATTAAAACTGAAAATATAAAAACAAAAGCTAATTCAGTATTTAACTAACTATGTTTTTACAGCAACTATTAATATTTGTTAATGTTAGTTAATCAAAATATGATTCAATATATTCATGATAGTTCAGTGCATTAACTAATATTAACAGATGCAACTTTTGATTTTAATAATGTATTCGTAAACGCTGAACATTAACTAAGATTAATAAATGCTGTATGCCAAATAATATAGTTAACAAATGAAACCTTATTGTAAAGTGTTACTAGTTTTATTAATGTTTTGAAATAGTTTTTATTTTTTGATTTTACGTAACGTTTAAGTAATTTTATTCTGTGATTTGTGTCATTTTATTTTCATTTAATTAAAAATGACAAAAAAATCATTATTTTGAAATAGTTTTTATTTTTATATTTTCTGTCTTTTTCCATTTTACTTAACGTTTAAGTAATTTTATTCTGTGATTTGTGTCATTTTATTTTAATTTAATTAATTTCTATATAACATAAGTGGACTTTGAACGATTACGTAATTGTGGCATCCATAATTGTAATCGCGATTAGAAATTCGATTAATTTTGCAGCCCTAATATATATATGTATATATATATATATATATATATATATATAAGACACAAATCTTATTAAACATTATTTAATTAATCAAATCAGCCACTAGATGGCAGAACATCACTTATAAAACACTGAGACGCGAATGCTTTCATGTTCCAGTGTTTTTAATTCGTAATTCATATTTTGAATTCGATTTTATTTTTATTTCTATATTTTGTGTTTTCATTACATTTCTGTTTTAGTAATATTGTTGTATGTTTTTGTGATTTTTTAAAAATGTCTATAAAGTTTTTATTTCAGTTTTGGTTGTTATTATTTTAGTACCATCAAATTAAACTAAATGAAAATGAGAAATGTTGCCTTGGCAACAAGCTGATTTACGTAACGTTTAAGTAATTTTATTCTGTGATTTGTGTCATTTTATTTTCATTTAATTAATTTCTATTTAAGTTTAAGTTGTAGTTATTTTATTACATCAAATTAAACTGAATTGTTGCTTTGGCAATTAGAATAAAATTATTATTTTGAAATAGTTTATATTTTTATATGTTCTGTCTTTTTTAATTTTACTTAACGTTTAAGTAATTTTATTGTGTGCTTTTTGTAATTTTATTGTAATTGACTTAATTTCTATTTAATTTTAAGTTGTAGTTACTTTATTACATCAAATTAAACTGAATTGTTGCTTTGGCAATTAGTATAAAAGTATTATAAATTATACATTAAGTATATATTTATAATGAACTATAATAAGCAATATTTTGGACAATATTGTCAGTATGTAGATTTACTCCAAAACTCAAGAAGCACTTAAGTGAATATAGTCAGTAAATCTGGTGATATGAACAACACTTCAGGAATACATTTACTTCAGTTAAAGCTGGATTTCAATCAAAATCCTGCAGAAGACTCAATCTAACATAATGTAGAGTTTCGACTGGCTGTGTGCAACATTCATATTCTCACAGCAGCTCTAGCAGGAATTTCCATCCATAAATTAACGCATTTCATATCTCTCCCTCACAGCTTTCCAATGCAAATATTGCTCCTCAAGACATGAAGAGCCACAGCAACACATGCACGGCTCGATCTGCTCGAAGAAGACGGGGCTACAGCAGCGTGTGAAGATCACATGAGGCTCCGGTGAGATAATCTTTTGCTGAATTACAGCCGTGAGACTATAATGCAACAGTAATTCAGTCACGCTCTCTGCTGATGCCACATTATTGTCTGCTGACCTTCAGGACATCAACAGCAGCTAAAGCATGACAGACACAGCTACCAAGAGCTGATGAACAACATAAGCAACCATTCCTGAGAATGTAAAGCTGATTCACTGCTGGAACAGAGGAAGACATGTTTCATCAGATACTGAAGACGACGCCTGAAGCATGAAACCGCTCTCTGTTCAGGACTGTTCAGGGTTCAATTAAGTAAAAAAAAAAAATTATAAAATCTAATTATTCTACATAAATATATTTTTAATTTTTTTAAACTTCGGTGACTAAAATAACACTAAAATTAAATGTAAGTACTAGATGAAAAATTTGTCCTTGGCAACTGCCTAAAATAAATAAGTTTAAAAACAAAATAAAAGAAAGTACAAAAATGACTAAAACTGAATTAAAATAAATGAAAATAAATGTTAATATTTAAACTAAATAAAAATGGGGAAATACAATGAAATTACTAAAACTAGAATTAGAATGAAAAGTGAAAATATTAGAAATAAATAAAAATATTCAAGTACTAAAGTTACTAAAACGGAATTAAAAATACATGAAAGCTAAATAATAATATATTTAAAAAAATAGAAATGACAAAAACAATTAAATTAATGAAACTAAGATGAGAATGAAAACTGAAAATATAAAATAAAAGCTAATTCAACATATTAATAAATACTATAATAGTATAAATAAAAAAATTAATAAAAAAACACTGATGCACAATATAGCATGATGACCTGTGCCTTATTACTGCTGCCTTTAAAACTACTAATATATATATATATATATATATATATATATATATATGACACAAATCTTATTAAACATTATTTAATTAATCAAATCAGCCACTAGATGGCAGAACATCACTTATAAAACACTGAGACGCGAATGCTTTCATGTTCCAGTGTTTTTAATTCGTAATTCATATTTTGAATTCGATTTTATTTTTATTTCTATATTTTGTGTTTTCATTACATTTCTGTTTTAGTAATATTGTTGTATGTTTTTGTGATTTTTTAAAAATGTCTATAAAGTTTTTATTTCAGTTTTGGTTGTTATTATTTTAGTACCATCAAATTAAACTAAATGAAAATGAGAAATGTTGCCTTGGCAACAAGCTGAAATATACTTTTTTATTAAACATTTTATTTTATTTCAGTTAATGCTTATCTAACAAACATTTTTATGGTTTTAGGTTTAGTTAAATATATTAACCCTGTTATGTTCAGATATATTTCTACTGGTTATGAGAATATTTCCAAATAACACATATTCCTATAATCAATATAGTCTGAAAAGTACTTCCAATGCTTCAATAACTGGATAAGACACATGACTAATGTGCTGTTAATAAACAGACAAAAATTAAGTGAAATATAATTTATTTAGAGTGCCAGCCTGACAGTAT